CTGCTCTCCTCCATCCCACTTGGTTCTCAACTTTGTTTTCCTCGTGTATTTGACTGCAGCTGGTGCCCATTCTCTTGTCCAAGACCTACTGCTATAGTGGGTGCCTTATACACCAAAGAGTAGTGTGTTCTGTTTGAGTTAACATACTGAAGGTAGCAAGGCAGGAAAAACCTGGTTTTTAGCCTTCAAACGTGAAGTTTTGTTAAGAACAGCTGCTCTCTGAGGACTTCCCCCTGCAGCAGGATGTGGTAGAGGCCTCGGAAGGCTCAGTCGCTACCTTTATATTGAAGCGGATTCTGTTGCTTAAAGAGACCAAAAAGCAGACTAACCTCTCCTTATGGGCTTTAGAAGTAAGTGTTTGTGAAGCAGGTTTTACAGCCTGTCAGCCCAGTGTGTATGTACCAGTGGAGATCTTGATCTTGAGCCTTAGGAGGAAACGTGGGCTCCTTCCATCTGTCCAAGTGCTGTCTTGGCTCCGGACTTGCTTTTGTCCTGGGGTTCGGTGGAGGCAGAAGCTCTGCAAGTTACTTTTCATCTGACAACATGATCTTGTGCCCCTCATGCCTGTCACGGTGCACACGTTTGGTTTGTTGCACAAAATGGTGTTTAATTAGGAGGAAAGAAAGCGTTTGGCAAGTGTTTTGACTGTCTGTGGCCCTGCTATTTTAATTGTCGTGCTTTTGAAAGCTGCAGAATGAGCTGGAGTTCAGGAAGAGACACAGACTGCTCGGAGGTCACCAATTAAGATAGGATTTTGACTGCTGTGCTGGCTCAGCCCTCCAGCTTTATTTATGTATCTTGCATCCAGTTACCCCTAGATTTGGGAATCTCCCATCATAAAGAGATGCGTTAGTCATGCATGAGGAATTCAGCATCGGGTCACTTTGTTAACGAGAAGACAATTAATACAGTCCACAACAGGGGGAAAATAAATTCACTGCTGGCATTTAGTGTATTCCATTTCTCCAAGCACCTTCCTGATGTTAGCTAATGGCGGGTCTCCATTTCAGATGTGAAATGAGGCGAAGGCAGCTGCGGTGACGTGTCGGGGCATGTCAGCATTAGAGTTTGGGTGATGCTTATTGCTAAGTGCAGGCTCCATTCACATTGCCTCTGGGAGCTTGCCTCATTAGTTTGGAGTTAAGGCAACAATGTTAATTACCTAAAGATACATGTTTTCCTGGTGCAGCATCCATTTTTGTAGATGGAGCTCAGGTGATGAGCTGTGATACCGGGGTTGCTGCTCCTCAGTTGTGTCCTGCCTTGGAAGCAAGTATTTCAAGCAGCTTCCCAGGCTGGGCATGTTAAGGAATGCTGCTGGTTTCAGTGCTGCTGAGCCAAACCAGGCAGGCTCACTGCATGTTACACCACTGACTAAGTGCCTGTGAAATCAAAGTGCTGTCATCTCACCCCCAGTGTCTTCCTGATACGTGTAACTGTAGCTCAAGCAGAGGTTTAACACTAAAGCCTTCTGAAACAGACTGGGGCTGGGTGCTTTGGGGTGTTGCTTCTATTGGAGTACCACTGACATCTACAAGTCATCTGTGAGGACCAAACGTTCTTTTTGCCTATTCAAACAAATGCAACACAACGTGATTTTGTTGCTGTGTTGAAAAATGCTTTTTGAAACCACCTCTTGAAACTAGGTTTTGCTGCAGTTTACAGGCAAACCTCCGCCTCGGGAAGGAGCTCCTGCCCAGATTAGTTGCTGCGTATCTGGAGAAGCATTTACAACTTTGTAGCTCAAAC